TGGTTTGAGGTTTTACATTTAGGTCTCTGATCCATTTGGAGTTAACCTTTGTGCATGGGGATAGATAAGGGTCCTGCCATCTCAGCTTTAAATGCTCATCTGTTTTAACATTTTTACCTTTGTTTTTTAAACTTTTTTTTAAAAACTTTTAAAAATAGCTATAAAAGCACATATCTGTTGTGGTTAAAAAATACAGACAAACATAGGTATATAAATATTACTCATTATCCTACAAATTACTTATAATCTTACCACCCAGAGATAAATGCTAACTCCCATGAAATAAATATATGGGGCATTTTATAACCTGCTTTCATTTAAGATATTTTAAATTGCTTGCTATGGCATTAAATATTCTCCTAAAACATTGACTTTTTTTTTTTTTTTTTAAATAAATGAGCAAGGGGAAAAAGCAGGCATCTCAGAATCACTCAGGGGTGTCTCATGTAGTCATCATTCTCAGTTCTTTCTGATAGACTTCTGGGGACTGTGGCTCTTTCATTCAAAAATCATCATGGACAGAGCCACTGCTGGCATTAACTGTACTTCCTTTAGGAGGATTGGAGCAAAAGAAAGTCAAAGTCAGTTCAAATTACTTTTAATTGGGTGCTAAGTTAGAAGTATCATTGTTCATTAAGAAGCAGTTCCCAAATCATTCTACAAAAAAGATACCTGCACACGTGTGTTTGTTGCAGCTCTATTCACAATAGCAAAAACATGGAATCAACCATGTTGCCCATCGAAGCTGGACTGGATAAAGAAAATGTGGTACATATACACAATGGAATATTATGCAGCCATAAAGAAGGACAAATATATGAACTTTGCAACAACTTGAACGGATTTGGAGTCGATCATACTCAGTGATCTATCACAGAAACAAAGAACAGAGTACCATATCTTCTCACTCATAAGTGGACCTTGAACAATTATAACACTATAAGAAAGCATTTAGCAGTAATGGGAAACCGTCAGGGGAGGGAGGGTAGGATTGGCAGTTGATGGAAACTGCTAGTGGGGGAGGGGCATACCTCATCAACAAGGGTACCTGCATAATCAACGTTTGTATACCTAACCCTGAATTGTACCCTACATCTTTGTAATAAAATATAAAAAAAAGAAAGAGAATGAAAAAAAAGAAATTTAGCATTTTTTCCATGAGCCAATAGCTTTGTGCCTCATGAAAAAGTTCAATATAAACTTTTCCTATTTGGATATATGTTTTTACATAAGTATTTGACAAATCCACAATTCTCCAACATTTATTAAAATTTCTACTTATTCACATTTGCATTAATTTATGTATTGATATTTAATCTTTGTCATTCTAATGAATAAAAACGAATATCCAATTGTTAAAAAAAAGTTCCCTTCCCTAGATATTTAGATTATTTCCCACCATTGCAAACATTGTAATGAATATCTGTGTAGCTCTATCTTTATACATATCTGTAATGAAACCGTTGACACATCTTCTTTGTTAACAAGCAATAAGGAACTGTTAAGTTCCAAAGTCTCTCATTCTGTTCCAGTGAAATCCTATTAAATATGGGAATGTGATATATAAAGGAAGGATAAGTCTCAATTAGGAAATTTGAAGGCCAGGTACAGTGGCTCATGCCTGTAATCCCAGCACTTTAGTAGGCCAAGGTAAGAGGATTGCTTGAACCCAGGAATTTGAGACCAGCCTAGGCAACATAGCTAGACCTTTTTATTTTAAAAAAAATAAAAGTTAGAAAAAGGAAATTTGGTTACTTACCAGCATCTTTGATCCAATTATCGTAAAGACGCACAGTCCTTGATGTAAGATCACTGAATGCCATTTTCCACAGGATTTACTGGCTCTTTTAATGAACTATTCAATAAAACAAAACAGAAATGAGTTTATGATCTATAAATGCAAATAAAGTCAAACGCATAGTAATACAATATTTAAAATGCTAAAAATTTAATGTGAATAACTGGCAAAACAATAAACTTCTACCAAGGGCAAATGCATTCGTGAATCATTTAAAACCCTAATGCAGTTGCAAATATTTCAGATTCTCCACCCTTCTAGGAACCCTGCTAACTTCACTGAAAGAGGCTGGCATTCTATGTGCCAGATACAAATGATTCCAAGGACTTTCAAAGGAGCATCTTCCTTTTATGGAGACAACATAGATCAGGAATGAACATGCAGTGCTGAAGTAAAAACTCCAAGAGAAAAAAGTCAAGAAGATATACAAACTTTTTTTTTTCATTAAGCCGTTCCATTCTAGGAAAGATACACAAACTTTCAGAGAAGGCATATCAATCCTAGAATTAGAGCTCTTCTTCAGACCTCCTAAGGTCATCTATGTGCAAATTTTTACCACTTAAATGGAATAGAGACAGAAAGAAGGAGGGAAAGATCTGTAAGAGCCAAGAAGAAGCTGATTCATTCATCTGGACAGATAGACAAGAATAATTGGAAAAAGAAGTCTTCTGGAAAAGAAGACCAGTGAGGAGAAACCAACCTCATCATAATTAAGAGGTATTATAAATCTTCAATAATTAAAACAGTGTGGCACTGGTATATGGAGAGTCAAACCAATGGAACAAAACAGAACATCCAGAAATATACTAAGTGTATTTGGGACTTAGAACTATATTTCAGTAATTCTAAGATGTATGCCTTGCCACATTTTTACATCTCTGGAATCAGGGTATGCCTTACAAATGGATGATGTGTTATAAAATTACTGGTATATTTGATTCAAAGTCATGTTGTAGAAAGATAGGAAAAATTCTGCAGATTGATGGTGGTGACAGTTGCACAACAATGTAAATGTACGTAATGTTACTGAACTTGGTTAAAATGGTAACTATTTCAATTAAAATATACATTTAATGGTAAAAATAAAATGCATATTTTACCATTATTTTAAAAATCCTTTAGGGTTGCCACAGGAAAATTTAGACTTTCTTTTAGCATTCTAAAACAAAGCCATTTTATTTATGTAAATATAAATAAAATCAATATATATATAACATATGGTATATGATACAGGTGGCATCTTAAATCAATGGGCACCAAATTATCAGCCACTATTCAATAAATGGTGTGTTACAACTGGGTAGCCATCTGAAAAAGTTCAATTCAAACATTCTATTATAAGCCAAGATAAACTCTAGGTGCATCAAATATTTAAATCAGAAAAATAGAACCATGAAAGCACTAGTTTACAAACAGGGAGAAGACTTATAAAGTCTTAAAAACCTTGGAATGGGAAAGATGTTTCACTAAAACTGAACATTCAGAAGACATAAGAGAAGGCTAACCAATTAAACCATAAATGACAAACAGTAAAAAATATGTTCAATTAACATCACAGACAAGGGCTACTCTCTCTAATATATAAGGAGTTTATAGAAATTAATAAAAGAATTGTAAGCCAAGAGGAAAACAGGCAAAATTCACAGAAAAGGAAATACAAATGGCTCTTAAAACATATGCAAAGTTGCTTAACTTTAATAAGAGGAAGAAACCTGCAGTATTATTTACCTATTAAATAGGTTCAAATCCAAGCATTTATTAATCAGATGTGCCAAAATCCAAAAACATTTTGACTCAGTCGGCAGGACTATGGGAAATTCTCTTCTTCTTCTTTGTTTTTTTTTTTTTTTTTGAGTTGGAGTCTCACTCTGTCGCCCAGACTGGAGTGCAGTGGCCGCTTCCGGCCACCGCAGCCTCGACCTGCTGGGCTGTGGCGATCCTTCTGCCTCAGTCTTCCAAGTAGTTGGAACTACAGGAGCGCGCTACCACGCCCAGCTAATTTTTGACTTATTGTAGAGATGAGGTCTCACCAAGTTGCCCGGGCGGGTCTTGAATCCACGGGCTCAGGCAATCCACTCACCTCAGCCTCCCAAAGCACTGAGATTACAGGCTGAGCCACCGAACCCAGCTGGAAACTCTCTTCTTACATGTTACTGGTGGGAGTACAAACTAGTATAATCCTTAACCCAGCAACCCTGCTTCTAGAAACATATACTACAGATATATGTGTACATAAGCAGAAAAGCATAGATTCAAGTTCATTTGCTGTATTAGTTTTAAGAGCATAATGGAAATAGCCCAAATGCATGTTAATAGAGGACTGGTAAATAAATGATAATACATCTACTGCCATTAACTATTATGGCACTGTAAATAAGAATGAGCAACCTCAGGCTGGGCGGTAGCTCACGCCTATAATCCCAGCACTTTGGGAGTCCAAGGTGAGGGGACTGTCTGAGCTCACAGGTTCAAGACCAATCTGGGCAACTTGGTAAGACCTCATCTCTACAATAAATAAAAAAATTAGCTGGGCATGGTGGTGCGTGCCTGTAGTTCCAGCTACTTGGAAGGCTTAGGTGGAAGGATTACCTGAGCCCAGCAGTTTGAGGCTGCAGTGGTCAGGAGCGTGCTACTGCCCTCCTGCCTGGGTGACAGAGTGAAGCTCCAACTCAAATAAAAAAGAGCAAGCACGCCATGTACTGATATAGAAAGACTTTCGAGATAAATCTCTGTGCAAAAAGCAAAACACAAAATTTTTAAATGATTAACTTGTATATAGAAAAGAAGCAAAACCATATGAATATAAATGTATATGTACTCGTATTTGTTTTAAGGAACTCTGAAAATGTAGACATGAAAAGGAAAATGGGCTACAAATGGGGCTAAAAGGGTAGAAGAAAGACATTATACTGTTGGGTTTTGGCCCATGTGGATATTTTACCTATCTAAAAATAAAGAATGAAATCAGCTACACCTTTACTGGAATATTACTATTTAAACACCTATATACAAATAGAGACTAGTCAAAGCCACAAGCTGCTTAGGTTAGCACAATGTAGACCCACCATCAGAGCACAGAGAGTATGCATGGGGCACCTGATCACTTTATCCTTTGTGCTCAAGTCTATTTCAACAGGGATCAGAAGGCATAACTAATCTGGGAGAATATCTTGCTCTACTTCACTTAGATGCAGATGGGACCTCAGGGTTGCCTGCAGTGGGAAGTGCCTGGCAGAAGCTCACAAACCTAAAACCACGGCCAACCATTTCCAGGTGAACCCTCAAATGTAGAGATGTATGCAAACCCTGGAAAATACACTGGGCCACTCTCTCTGAAGGAAAGGAGTGATAGAGTCGGCATATGGCTTTCCTAAGGCATGGGTATAATTAAGGAACAGAGCCAGATGGTTTTCCCTTTCTCTTTTGATGTTTGGGGTATCCTGGGCTCCCCACTGATCTCTGCTTTGAGAAACAGATATCAGGGACAAGCCTGGAAGTATAGAACTGACCAGAGAGAGATGCTGCTTAGGGACACAAAAACTAAATGAGCTACAGGAAGGAATCAGGATGAAGCTCTGTGATGGAACTTGGGACTGCAGGGAAAAACAAAACAGCTGACCTTCCTGTGGAAAGCTTCATCTGGTCGCACTTGTGGGAGAGGTATTGAAATTTACCCCCCTTGTACAGAGCAAGGGAGGAGATGGAGCCAGAACACATTAAGTTATTCCATAGAAATAATGATTGCTCAAAGGAGAACTGATAAGGGAAACATGCTTTCAAATGTAGAAAGTGCCCCGAAGGCAGAGAACAGGAACAGCCTGGAGAGTCAAAAAGGAAAGGGCAGCCAACCCTGACTGATTAGAAAGGGACAGGGAGGTGAGTCAGAGGAGCAGTGGGATCACAGTCCACAGGGTGATGAAAGCCTTTTCCAGGTGGAGCCATTGCAGTCTTTCTGGGAAAAATCAGAGGTGAGATGGAGTCTCTGCTGCTATCGTCTTAGGGAGGAAAAATCCCTAGATAAGAAATACATTTCTTAGTAAGGGGGATTTCCACTTAGATATGAATCTGTGTACTTCCCAGTATTTCCCTCCCCATCTGTTTTCTCACTGGAACTGGTTTACCCCTCTCAATCCTTAAGCAGAAACAAAATCTCAAAGAGGTTGTGAATCTGAGTGCTGCACAGAAAGATTTGTGTGCTTGAGTCTGTTCCTTCCTAATGATTTAATAAAACAGATGCTAGAGGAAAGCAACCAGAAACGTTTAAGTATATTAAAATGAGAGGAATGACTATAAAGTGATAATTTGTCTAAAGCAGAATTTCTCAATCTCAATAGTACTGACATTTGAGGTCAGATAATTCTTAGCAGTGAAACTTTCCTGACCATTGTAGGATGTTTAAAAACAATCCTGGCTTCTATCCACCAGTGCCAAGAACAAGTACTCCCCATCTGAGATCATTTAAAAATGTCCCCAGAAATTGTCACATTTATGAGGGGCAAAATCCTCCAAAGTTAAGAGCCATTGGTTTAAAAGAAACTAACAATATGTATTCATCCAAATAGCAGGTTACGCAGCATAATCACTATGGCAATTATAGATGTATTTCAGTGATGCTGTTGTTAAAACCATTTTTTAAAGCTTTTCTTTAGAAATCAACTTCAGAGTTTTTCAGAATTTTGTTTAAATGGTTTTAAGGGAGAAAAATCTTTGTCTACTGCTTCTAAAAAAAACAAGTTAATAACTAATCAAAAGTTAAGACTGGCGTAGAAGTAAATGGTTTGAGCCGGGCTATACCTTTATTATCTCTGGCGCAGAAAGGGAAAAAATGAAACTGGGTTTGATGATAAAGTAATTTACTATTGACATTTTCAGCTCAACGTTTATAAAATGAGAAAAATTTCAAAAAAATCTTTGAGAATGGTTTAAGGCTCTGGCAATATTAGTAGAATAAATATATACTAGCCTGATATGACTATTTTTAAGAAAATACTCATTTTAGTAGTATACGTTTCTGCAAAATAGTTTAAATCCTTTCTGTCATCATCTATTATAAACTCTAATTAAAAGCAAATGAATCTAGAATGTGAAACAGGCTCAGTGAAAAATGATTTCAAATGACACATTTTTTAATTTGTTAATTATTATTATATATATACATATGCATGTGTGGTACAATATATACCTAACACACACACACACACACACACACACACACTAAAGAAGCAAAAATGCATGTCCGTTACACTGGATTCTCTATTTTGTTTTGATGGTTCATATATATAGTATATTAACTTACATTTCACCTTGGTATTTCCCTTAACACCCCCACTCCCCTTTTTGCTATTTCTATTTAGTAGCTGAGTTGTGCAGGCTGCCTTGGGAATAAAAGAGAATAGCAAAAAGCAAAGTTTATCTCAGCTTTTGGGTTACAGAAGCTCAGGCAGTGAACCATACAGAATTCAGGGCATAGACAAGAGGTTTCCATGCCTCTTGGAACAGAAAAGCATGGCTCAGGCTTCGGGGAGGGGAGAGTCAGAATGAAAGCAGTTAGTGCAGGTCCCAGAGAAAAGGGCATAAGTGCTGAGAAGGTGCAAGGTAGGATGACAGGAACTGAGAATGGGAAAGGTCAGGCACTATTGCCTGGGCAGAACAGGGGCAGATGACCGATGGGGCTTTAGGAAGCCATTAAGAGTTTATTTGCTCCAGTGTGATTCAAGCACAGCACAAAGACTTTTTTTTTGAGTTGGAGTCTTACTCTTGTCACCCAGACTGGAGTGCAGTGGCACACTTACGGACACCGCAGCCTTGACCTGCTGGGCTTAGGTGATCCTTCTACCTCAGCCTTCCAAGTAGCTGGAACTACAGATGCATGTCATCACTCTCGGCGAGTTTTTGTGATTTATTATAGAGACGAGGTCTCACCAAGTTGCCCAGGCTCATACAATCGAAAACCCAGGCTCATACAATCCTCTCACCTCGGCCTCCCAAAGTGTTGGGATTACAGACTGAGTCAACACGAAGACTTTTGAGCACCCTTGATAGGCATGGAAGTATTGGAGAAGATCTATAAAAATGAAAGAGTCATATAAGTAGGAACAATGTATGTCTCTTCAATCCTGCAGGCAAAAATGATTAAAGACCTGGAGGGACCCTGGATTGCTCAGAGTATGGCAATGCAGACAGAGAACATAGAGGACTGAAGAATTACTCCTCCTGATTACTTTGATGCCACATAAGCATCTTCTTGCTGAGGATGGAGGAGAAGTGCTTCAAGATTAGAGTTGACTAAGATATGTTTCTCCCACCTCAAGAATAATGGCATGAAATAAAAATTAAGATACAAAAATAAAAATTATGTCCTCATATCAGTCTTAAAGTCAAAAACTGTCACAAGAGACAAGGTCATTACATAATGATCAAGAAACTATAACAATTTTAAGTATATACGCACCCAACATAGTAGCACCTAAACATATAAAGCAAATATTAATAGATCTGAGGGAAAAAATAGACCGCAATACAATAATTGAAGGGGACTTTAATATCCCACTTTCAACAAGGGATAAATCATCCAGATGTAAAATTAATAAAGAAACACTGGAATTGAAGTGCACATTAGACTAAACCTAACAGATGTATACAGAACATTCTACCCAACAGCAACAGAATACATATTCTTCTCAAGCATACACAAAACATTCTCCAGGACAGTTCATATGTTGGGCCATAATACAAGTCTTAAGATTTTTAAGACTGAAATTATATCAAGTATCTTTTCTGATCACAATGGTATGAAACTAGAAATCAATAACAGGAAGAGAACTAGAAAATTCACAAATATGTAGAAAGTGAGCAACATGTACCTGAACAACTCAAGGGCCAAAAGATAAATCAAAAGGGAAATTTTAAAATATTTTGAGATAAACGAAAATGGAAATACAGCTTACCAAAACTTATGAGATGCCGCAAAAGCAGTTCTAAGACAGACGTTTATAACAGTAAATGTCTATCTTAGAAAATAAGAAAGATCTCAAATAAACAACCTACCTTTACACCTCAAGTAACCAGAAGAAGAATAAACTAGTCAGCAAAGGAAGGAAATTATACATAGCAGAGTGAAGATAAATGAAATCGAGACTAGAGAAATAATAAAAAAGATCAACTAAACTAAGTTGATCTTTTGAAAAGCTAAACAAAATTAACAAAATTTTATAAGTGGGAGAAAATATTAGGTACAAATGGACAGAAAGATGAAAACAGACACTCAGGGCACTTTTGGGGGGAAGAAAAAAGGGACAAGTGTTAAAAACTACCCATTTGGGTACTAGGCACACCATTTGAATGATGGGCTTATAAAAGTCAAAACCTCACCATCACACAAAATACCCATTCAACAAACCTGCACATGTACCTCCCTAAATCTAAAAATAAAAATATATTTTTTAAAATCTCAAATAAATAAAATTGGAACTGCAAGAGGAGACATTACAACTGATACCACAGAAATGTAAAGGTTTATGAGAACTACTATGAAAAATTATACATCAACTTATTCTAGAGGAAATGGATAAATTCCTAGGACATATAACTTAACAAGACTGAATTATGAAGAAGCAAAAAATCTCAGCATACCAATAACTAAGAAGCTCTTATCAGTAACTAGAAACCTCTTATACCAGACAACATCACTGCTGAATTCTGCCAAATGCTGAGAGAAAAACTAATAGTGATTCTTTCAAAAATTGAAGAGAAGGGAGTACTTACAAACTCATTTCTTAAGGCCAGCTACCTGGATGCCAAAGCCTGACAAAAACACTACAAGAAAAGGAAACTATAAGCCAATACCTCTGATGAACATAGATGCAAAAAACCTCAATAAAATATTAACAAACCAAATTCAATAGCAAATAAAAAGGATCATTCACTACAATCAAGTGGGTTTATCCCTGGGATACAAGAATGGTTCAATAAACAAAAATCAATAAATGTGATATCCCATATTAATGGAATGGAAGACAAAAACCATATGATCATCTCCAATAGATGCAGAAATAATATTTGAAAATACTCAACATCTTCTCATGATCAAAACTCAATAATTTATTTAGAAGAAACTTATCTCAAAACAATAAATAACTATCATCATGCTCTATGGTAAAAAGTCGAAACTTTTCCTCTAAGGTCTGAAACAAGACTAGGATGCCTGCTCTTATCACTTCTATCAAGGTGCCAGCAATTCTGAGGCCTCTTCTGTTGGAGGTGGCAACCATCTCATTGTGTGCTCACATGACCTCTTTGTTACACTGTTACCATTTCTATTCAACATAATACAGTTGACTTTCAGTATTTGTAGGCTCTGCATCCACAGATACAGAAGGCTACCTATACACATTTTGGTTGGCTGAATCCCTGATATGTAGCTCACAGATATAAGGACTGACTGTATTACACCATTTAATATAGGAGACTTGAGCATTCTCAAACTTTGGTATTGGTAGAAGGTCCTGGAACCAATCCCCAATAGATAAGGGCTGATTATACTGAGGGACACTAATTTTAAAATTTGAAGAAGACACAAAGAAGTGGAAAGATATCCCAAATTCATGGATTAGAAGAATTAATTTTGTTAAAACGTTCATACTATCCAAAGCAATCTACAGATTCAATGCAATCCCTATCAAAATTCCAACGATATTTGTCACAAAAACAGAAAAAAAATGCTAAAATTAATATGCAATCATAAAAGATCTAAATAGTCAAAGCAAATGTGAGCAAAAGAAAACAAAACTGGAAGAATCACACTACCTGATTTCAATATATACTACAAGGCTAAAGTAATAAAAACAACACAGTACTGACAAAACAACAGACATATAGACCAATAGAACAGAATAGAGAACCCAGAAATAAACCTATGCATTTACAGTCAACAGATTTTCAATAAAGATGCCAAGAACACACAATGAGAAAAGGACATTCTCTTCAGTAAGTGGTGCTGTGCCAACTGGATATTTTCATATACAGAAGAAAGAAATTAGACCATTATCTCACATCCTATATGAAAACCAACTCAAACAGATTAAATATTTAAACATAAGACCTGAGACTGTAAAACTACCCAAAGAAAACTTAGGAGAAAAGTTTCATGACATTGGTCTGGGAGTGATTTCTTGCATATGACCAAAAAATGTAGGTGACAAAAGCAAAAATAGACAAACGAATTACATCAAACTAAAAAGCTTCTGTACAACAAAAGCTAACAATGAAGAGACAATCTATTCAGTAGGAGAAAATATTTGCAAACCATGCATTCCATAAGGGGTTAATATCTAAAATATACAAGGAACTGAAACAACTCAATAGCAAGAAAAAATAATTTAATTAAAAACGAGCAAAGATTCTCAAAAGAAGACATAAGAATGGCCAACAGATATATGAAAAAATGCTCCAATTACTGATGATCAGAAAAACGCAATATCACACCTATTAGAATGGCTAGTATCAAAAAGACAATAGATAAGTGTTGGCAAGAATGTAGAGAAAAGGGAAACCCTGTACACTAGGGGTGGGAATGTAAATTAGTACAGCTTTTATAGAAAGAAGTATGGAGGCTCCTCAAAAAATTAAAAATAGAACCACCATATGATACAGCAATACCATTTCCAGGTATATAGCTAAAGAAAATGAAATCAGTATGTCAAAGAGACATCTACACTCCCATGTTCTTTATGACACTATTCACAATAGCCAAGACATGGAATCAACCTAAGTGTCCACTGATGGATAAATAAAGAAAATATGGTGTACACACACACACACACACACAGAAATACTACTCAGTATTTAAAAATAAGGAAATCTGGTCATTTGCAACAACATGGATGAACCTGGAAGATATTAAGCTAAGTGAAATAAGCAAGGCACAGAGAGACATATATCACATATTCTCACTTATACTCAGAGTCTTAAAAAAAGTTGAGCTCATAGAAGCAAAGAGTAGAACAGTGATTGCCAGGGCTGGGAAATGGATAAATGGGGAGATATTGGTCAGAGTACAAAGTCTCAATTAGGATAAATAAGTTCAAGCATGGTGACTATAGTTAATGCTAATGGACTACATACTTGAAAATTGCTAAGAGAATAGATCTTGTGTTCTCATCCACACACACACACACACACACACACACACACACACACACACACACAAGTATGAGGTGTGGATATGTTCATTACCCCAATTTATTCATTTCACAATGTATCCACATATCAAAACATCACATTGTACACTGTAAGTATATACAACTTTCATTTGTCAATTATACCTTAATAAAGCTGGAGGGAAATTATATTATTACATAGCTGACTTTGTCAAGTAAGATTTGAAACCCTTTACTTTAAGATCAGATCAGCACAAATTTTCTGTCTTTTATATCCCTTACGTCAGTACTTCCCAGTCCTAGTTGAAAACCAGAATCATCCAGAGGGAGATTTAGATTCAGTTAGTGTCTGGGGAAATTCTGATGGTGGGCTAGATTTGGGGACCTTTTCCTAGCTTAACGATTTTCATAAATCGTTATGAGACATGACAACACCCACAACACGAAGAAAAGGCATAAAATGCATGAAAAAAGAATTCAGTTAATGAAAGTCACCTGGAAATGATAAGGAATCTGTGTCAAGAAGGGCAGGAACAGAAGATATAATCAATACTGGAGAAGATTAATCTGGTGATTCAAAGGAATGTGCAAGAGATGTGAAATCTGGGAACAGATCTCTGAGTGAGCACATACATCCAGAATGTACACCAACCTCTTATTTCAGAAGTGATATAAGCTTGAAGTTCTCAAGTATCTATGAGAGAAAAAAAATCACTACTACATCTTAAATCCCTGTTGTGTTTACCCCTCTGCTCCACCCCAAAAATCACACGGGGAAGCACATGGCCTCAGGGAGGAAGAAGAATTCTGATATAAAGAAGAGGAGTGGTTAGGCTACAAGGAAGAAGGGAGGTTGAGAAACAACATTGAATGTAATGTTACTTAGAGATTACCTTGTAACACCATTTCTTTTTTGTTTCTTGAATATTTTATCAGAATTCTTTTGATTCAATATAGTTGCGTAAAGCAAAGTAAATATAACAAGTTCTCTGTACTTGATGTGTCCTCAAATTTCTAGACAATTTCACTCCTCAATAAGTTGAGAACTGCTCACACAGGTTAAAATAGAAAAGGTGTAAGTTCCTAGGATCTGCCCAACACCAGATATAGGGCATCCTATTTGTCAGCAAATTCCTTTAATGTCATAAAAGGAAATGTATTAGAACCATGCAGGCACCTCAGTCAAAAACATGAAGCTGGGTGGGGAGGGGAAGACAGACAGGAAGGAATGGATTAGGTCGTTACCAAGATCATCAGTGAAAAGCTCAGAGACTCTAGTCTAACCAACTCATCATTACCATTTCAAATGTGAATCGAAGCTCTGACACCCTGAGCCCGTCCACCAAGTGTTCTCTACCCTTCCTGCTAATATGTGCTCATAATAAACTAATCTTGATTTTTGTCTAAACAAAACATAATTAATAGATGAATAAACTAAGTATACCTAATAAGTTAAGCATGCTTACAGCACCTTACATAAGACTTTCTAGTGGCTTTTACATATCTGCTATTTAGAATTATCTTGTACTATAGTCTTTTTGATATAGATAACACACTATAAATCTTATTTTTTATTTTTTGAATTGAGGTCTCTTTCTGTCACCCAGTCTAGAGTGCAGTGGCACTGATCACAGCTCACAGCAGCCTTGACATCCTGGGCTCAGGTGATCCTTCCACCTCAGTCTCCCAAGTTGCTGGTACTACAGGCATGCACCACTACACATGGCTAATCTTTTTAATTTTTTTTTTTTTTTAGAGATGAAGTCTTGTTATGTCATTTATGCTGGCATCAAACTCCTGGGCTCAAGTAATTCCCCCTGCTTCAGCCTCCCAAAGTG